GGCTAAACTGATGTTTACCTATGGCCAGGCTGAATTGAAGTTTACCTATAGCAAACTTAATCCAGCCAGGCTGAATTGAAGTTTACCTATGGCAAACGTAATCCAGCCAGGCTGAATTGAAGTTTACCTATGGCAAACGTAATTCAGCCAGGCTGAATTGAAGTTTACTTATAGCAAACTTAATTCAGCCAGGCTGAATTGAAGTTTACCAATGGCAAACGTAATTCAGCCAGGCTGAATTGAAGTTTTCCAATGGCAAACGTAATTCAGCCAGGCTGAATTGAAGTTTACCAATGGCAAACGTAATTCAGCCAGGTTGAATTGAAGTTTACCTATGCCAAACGTAATTCAGCCAGGCTGAATTGAAGTTTACCTATGGCAAACGTAATTCAGCCTGGCTGAATTGAAGTTTGCCTATGGCAAACATAATTCAGCCTGGCTGAATTAAAGTTTCGCTATGGCAAATTTAATTCAGCAAGGCTGAATTGAAGTTTATCTATGGCAAACGTAATTCAGCCTGGCTGAATTGATGTTTATCTTTGGCAAACTTAATTCAGCCAGACTGAATTGAAGTTTACCTATGGCAAACTGGGCAACTTCGAAAAAATATTCTTTAAAAAATCTACGCTATGAACAACTTCGAAAAAAATATTCTTTAAAAAATCTATGCTCTGGACGACTTCAAAAAAAAATATATTTTTTTTAAATCTACGCTCTGGTTGACTTTGAAAAAATATTCTTTAAAAATCTACGCTTTGTTTGACTTCGAAAACATATTTTTCGCGGTCTGTACGACTTCGAAAATTATTTTTTTTTTAATCTACGCACTGGACGATTTCTGAAAAATATTTAAAAGAAATATGGCGACTCCGAAAAAATATTCTTAAAAAAATCTACGCTCTGGGCGACTTCGATCATAAAAAAATATGAATCGAGTGCCATCAAAAATACGCGTTGTTGGTCTTTGTAAAAATACTTCTATAAAAAATTTAAAAATATGAAATATTCAATATCTCCCGAACACCCCAAACTAAAAACACCATCCATGGCTAACTAACCCATTTCGAGAGGAAACCAAAAAAAATCATAAAAAAGTTCTTCTATTTTTTCGAACGTGTTATTGCACCCGCTTGCCTGTCTGTCTGTCCGGCTGGCTAGCTATCTGTATAGCTGCAAGTAGCTAAAGCAAGCATGCATATTCGCTGAGATTTCTGAATGTACATACATACGTACATATGAATATATATTTGTAAATTTGTACATATTTCGAATAATAGACGACACAAGAAATTATTTGTTGTCAACAACAAAACCAAAATAAAAAAGCCAAAACGAAATGAAATGGCTATGGGAAGGCGAAGAAAAAAAAAACGATTTTTTTAAAATTTAATTAATTTACACTTTGCATATATTTGTTGTTTATTTTCGTTGTTTTATTTTTTGTGATTTTGTTTTTAATCGAACAGGCTCTTTTGCATAAAAAAAACGAAAGCACAATAATAATAAATAAAAAAAATACAACGAATGAAAAAAAACAAATACTCTAGATTTCGTGTTCACACAAAGTAAATGAAGGCAGGCAGGCAGTATTTTGTTCTTTTTTGTTTTTGATTAAAAAATTTAAAATTATATACAGTAAACCCTCTACCAACAAACAAATCAGGTTTGAATGATAAAGTGCAAGCGAACTTGGTTAACAAAAATCGTTCATTAAGTGGCTGCTGGTCAGATATATATTTCAATTTACAGGACTTTTCTAAGTACATAACCAAATCTTAAAGAGGGTGTTGTTGTTTCATTCAAATTCTTTACAAAATACAAACTAACCTTTTTTTAATTTTTTTAAATAATTTTCAATTATTTTATAAAACAAGTTTTAAATCTCTCTCTTATTAACCACCGTTTTTTTAATATTTTTTTATTTTTAAAAATAAAACAAAATCCTTTTTATTTTCTTTTTCTTCTCGTTCCTCGGTTCCGTTCTAATTACTTTCGTTTTTTATTTGATTTTTTTTAATAAAGCTACTTTTGTGTGTGGGCCAACACAAAACACTCAATATTGAAATTTGAATTTCGATTTTATTTTTTTTTCAGTTTTGAAACGATCACCGCGCGTTGCTACTCTGCGAGAGACTAATCCGAAAATTCTTTTACTTGACAAATTTGCTGTGGTGTGTGATGTCGTGTGTCGGCGGTGTAATAACGGCCTCTGTGTGAAAATAACACGAACATTGTTTACCACCATGCTGAGCAACAGATGTTGAGGAAACATCATTGAGATTGTCAATTGGTATAGGGCACTAAGGCAAAACTAAAGAAAATAAGGGTGTGATGGAAACTTAACACACATCATTCTAGACCTAATTCATTACGCTGTGCCAAATTTCGTGCAAATCGAAAGATATATAGGGACTTTGGTGCACCATTTTACATTAAATCGGACGAAACTATATATGAGAGCTATATCTAAATCTGAACCGAATTTCCAGAAACTTAACACACATCATTTTAGACCTAATTCATTACACTGTGCCGAATTTCGTGCAAATCGAAAGATATATAGGCACTGTGGTGCACCTATATTTACATTCAATCGGAAGAAAATATATATGGAAGCTATATCTAAATCTGAACCGATTTTCACGAAACTTAACACACATCATTCTAGACCTAATTCATTACGCTGTGCAAAATTTCGTGTAAATCGAAAGGTATATAGGGACTTTGGTGCACCATTTACATTAAATCGGACGAAAATATATATGGGAGCTATATCTAAATCTGAACCGATTTCAAAAAAAAAAAAAAAAAAACTTGACACACATCAATCTAGACCTAATTCAGTACTCTGTGTAAAATTTTATTTTAATCGGACCAATATTGGCAGTTTGGTGGACCATTTATATAAAATCGGACGGAACTATATATGGGAGCTTTATTTAAATCTGAACCAATTCAGCGAAACTTCGCATACATAAATTTGGACCTAATTTTTTGCGCTGTGCAAAATTTTGTGACAATCGGCCTAAATTTGACTCTTTGGTGCACCATTTACATAAAATCGGACGAAACTATATATGGGAGCTTTATCTTAATATGAATTGATTCCAACAAAACTTTGCATACATTAATCTGAACCTAATTCAGTACTCTGTGCAAAATTTTGTGACAATCGGCCTAAATTTGACTCTATGGTGCTCCATTTACATAAAATCTGACGAAACTATATATGGGAGCTTTATATAAATCTGAACCGATTCCAGCGAAACTTCCCATACATAAATTTAAACCTAATTTCGTACGCTGTGCGAAATTTTGTGACAACCGGCCTAAATTTGACTCTATGGTGCTCCATTTACATAAAATCGGACAAAACTATATATGGGAGCTATATCTAAATCTGAACCGATTCCAACAAAACTTCGCATACATTAATCTGAACCTAATTCAGTACTCTGTGCAAAATGTTGTCTCAATCGGCCTAAATTTGACTCTATGGTGCTCCATTTACATAAAATCGGACAAAACTATATATGGGAGCTATATCTAAATCTGAACCGATTCCAACAAAACTTCGCATACATTAATCTGAACCTAATTCAGTACTCTGTGCAAAATGTTGTCTCAATCGGGATAAATATTGGCAGTATGGTGCTCCATTTACATAAAATCGGACGGAACCAGATATGGGAGCTATATCTAAATCAGAACCGACTTCAACAAAACTTGACACACATCAAATTTGACTTAAGTCAGTACTCAGTGTAAAATTTTGTTTCAATCGGACCATTATTGACAGTTTGGTGCACCATTTACATAAAATCGGAGAAAACTATATATGGAAGCTATATCTAAATAGGAACCGATTTTTCCCATTTTCAATAGTGTTCCTCCTTGGTCCAAATTAGTGACATGTGCCAAATTTCATTCAAATCGGATAATAACTGCGACCTTTACTTTGTTCACAAAAATACATGGACGGACGGACATGCATAAATCGACTCAGAAAGTGATTCTATCCATATTCTCAAAAGGAACCATAGGTCTATCTCGATTCCTTTTACCTGTTACAAACATATGCACAAAGACATTTTTTTAGAAACTACTTGAAAAAATATTTTTTTTAACAAATCCAAGCTCTTCTGTACCCTGAAAAATGTTTTTTTTTTATTTCAAGTTCTACACGACTTTGAAAAACTAGTTTTTTTTTTAATTTAAAGAAATATATACTTTTAATTTTCCCACGCTCTGCTGGACCTTGAGTACATATATATTTTTTTTAAATCTACGCTCTGGTGGATTTTGATTTTTTTTTACGTTAAAAAAAATATTTTTTAACCTATGAGGGACCTTGAAAAAATATTCTTTAAAAAATTCTTCAGTTCCGGTTGGATGTTGAAAAAATATTTTTCAAAATCTATGCTTGTTTTGGTTCTTAAAAAATGTACGTTGAAAAAAATATTTTATTATTACATGAATGATCTTCGCCCTAAAAAGGCATAAAAACAAAACTCAAAAATATTTTATGTTTAAAGAAATAGAACCCTATTACGTGCATTAGAGTGCCTCAAATTACAGATTGTGGTCAACCAAGGACATTTTTAATTGGGCAACAATAAACTGTTAAATTTTCAGCAACTAGAAAATCCCACTGATCTCCACTTATTCGAGAGCATAAAAAATTTCTTAACAAAGCAAAAATCCCCTTATCAATGTAAAAAAAAAAACTATTTGCCATCGATGATCTTATCTAATGTCAGACCGATAGTCAGTATGCGAACGACCACACAACTTGATATGACAATCAAGTGTTCTGTTTTCTCTGGTCGTTTGTACTTTAAGCTTTAAATAGAGAATACAAATTACAATCAGTCAACAATAAACATTAGATCAAATAGCGTGAAGCTTAGTTGGATTGTTGCCAACAAAGAACGATCAAGTGGAAGTGTTTAATAAAATTCTTCAAAAAGAAAGCCAACTTAAACCCCAAAACACCTAAAATGACTACTCCTCAGCAGCAATCATGGTGTGGTAAAGATTTTAAGCCCAGGGTATTTAAAAAACATCCACCCACAGTGTGCTATGACAAGCCGACCGCAGCTCAAGTAAACAAATCCGAATACGATGATATGCGTTTCCAGGCACTGATGGGTGACGTGGTGGAATCGTTGATTGTACCCAAACGTTCCGCGCGAACATGGACAATGCAAAAAGGTGATTTGTGTCGAGTCACCGTGTGTGAGGGTTCTCAGGTGGGTGATTTGAATTTTTGGAATTTGAAAAATACCAAAGAGCGGTTCTATTCGGGTAAAACACGACAATTGCATAGTACTCACCTGAAGGTGTACGATCGTCTGTGGAGTTGTATGCCATATTTAAGGCCAATGGCCACTTTTGTTTTTGATACATTGTCGAAATATGGCATTGATGAAGATGGTGGTTCACTGCACGATGTGGTGGGTACTCGATGTGATGATTATACATATAAACTAATTACGGGCAAAGATCGTATTGGTAGCTGCCACAGTAGTTTGGTGAAGGCAGTGGTCTCGGAACGTGGCATGACCGAGGAGGATGTACACGATGTCTGGAATATATTTATGTGTACTGGGTTTACAAGGGTATGCATATAAATAAAATTAATACCACTTACCTTAATTAATGTTCCTTGTTAATTTCGTAGGACACCCAACAGTATTTCTGCAAACCCAGTCCAGCCCAAAAGGGTGATTTTATTGAATTTATTGCCGATATGAATCTTTTGGTGGCCCTAAGTGCCTGTCCCCAGGGTGATGTTTCCGTGGCGGTGGGTAAAGAAGTACCCGATGAAATTTGCCATCCTCTCAAGGTGGAAGTTTTTCGAAAAAAGTAAAAACACCTATAAAAGAAAGTGCATAACAAAAATAAATTTAAATAAAATAAAAAAAATGAAGCTTCGACCGTGACAGGACTCGAACCTGCAATCTTCGGATTCGAAGTCCGACGCCTTATCCATTAGGCCACACGGTCTTGTTGTAAGTGTATAAGGTTCAGTGAATTTAAAAGGCTCTTCTTATCCTTGCACAAGGACATTACATAGCCAAACAGTATTTAGGGGTGGGTTTTTTTTACATTGGTGTCGGTATGTGTGTATGAGTCCGAATATTTGGTTTATTATTGATTTAGGGGAAATGGAATAGAATGAGAATAAACTAAAAATAGAACAAGGATACAATGTTAAGGCAAAAGGTATAGAAATCCAATGGTACATAATGACAATTTGTGAAGCTTTTTTGGTACCTTCATCATCTAGTGTTTACAAAATAAAGGTCCAGTTGTTCCATTAAAAATGTTCTTAAAAATATAGCAGTGTCGGTCTTCAATGTGTGATTTCATGGAAAAAATCTGCTACGATGGCTGTGTATTACAAGTTAATCCAATTGGATTTGAAAAACTTTACGCTGCGTGGACCCATAAATTCCCATGGAAAATTTAAACAAAAAATATTTTTTCAAAAATCCACTCTTATGGTTCTGCAGTTTCTTAGAAAGATATTGTATCAAAAATTTCTCTGAGTTGATCAATATAATTTAAAAATCGATATTTGTGGATCTTCTAGTCCTTCAAATAAAATACTTTTTGTTTTAAATTCAAACTATTTTCTCTGTTGATCATCGACGAAAAATTCTTTAAAGAATCCCGGTTTGGGTCTCAACTGGTCCTCGAAAAAAATATTCTTTCGAGTTTGAGTCTCAACTTGTCCTTGAAAAAATATTCTTTAAAAATATCCACAATTGATTCTCAACTGGTCCTTAAAATAATATATTCGACATTAAAAACTCTCTTCCACAATTTTTGATTCTCAACTTATTTTTGCTTGAAAAACAAATCCATTCTTGATTTTTTTCAACTGGGCCTTCATATGATTTTAAGTACAAAAAGATTTTTAGGCAAAAATTTTCTTTGACACTGAAAGGGTTTAATATTCTCAAAATTCCACAATTGAAATATCCTTGAAACAAAAAAACGCTTAAGTATCAGCCTCTCCTTGAAAAAAAAAATACTTTAAAAAATCCACGTTTGATTTTTAACTGATCCTTGAAAAAATATTCTTTAAAATTGCACGTTTGTGACTGTGCTGGTCCCTAAAAATACTCTTGAATCGCCGGATTCTTGAAAAAATATTCGTTAAAAATCCACGATTGGGGATCCTTGAAAATATTCAATTGTGGCATTTAAAATCCAATCTTATATCTCTGCTGGTTTGTTGAAATATTATTCCTTAACAAAGTAATGCTTATGGCTTAGCTTTTCCATTAAAAATATTCTTAGCAAAATTCAGACCTATAGTCCTATTGGTCCCTGAATGATATTCTTGTAACACTTCTGGTCCTAGGCAAATGGAATCATTTTTGGCCGCAGTCTCCTATGCACAAAATCCAGACTTACGGCCCTATTGGTCCCTGAATGATATTCTTGTAACACTTCTGGTCCTTGTCAAAATATTATTTTAAAAATTTACACATACTCCTAGGCAATTGGAACCACTTTTAGTAGAAGCCTTTCAATCTATTCTTAAATACTTACAATTATCCATGCATTGTATCCACCTTATGGCCGATATCTAACGGAGCCGTAGTCTTCTGCATCACCTCTGCAAATTTGCATTTCTTTGGAGCACTCAAAACCTCATACAGACATTTGCCCGGGGCATTGAAATGTTGCATTTCTCCGGGCGTCAAAATACATAATTTCCGCCGACATGCTTACAAAATATCCCAAAATTAAGTCCAGAGCAACCGTGACAGGTTCCAATTTATATTTCTACAGCATTTCTTCAAATAATTCTAATAATTGTGATTCAATTGCGATGCCATGTTTTTCCCGCTTTTTTTGTGTTCTAACTGACATTCTAATTGTCTGTGAGAGAGAATATATAAGACAGCATGAGCTTTGACATGGATAAGATAACTGCACAATATTTATTTATGAGTCTAAACGCAACCAGAGAGTCACGAGTCAGCGTCATACTTTTTCGCCGGCGTGAAAACCAAACAGCACACATGTCAATTATTTGTTTTCATTTTCTGACAGAAAATTTTACGTTGTGCAAACCAAAATCAATTTATTATTTAATAAACAATAATGTCAAGGAACTTGGTTAAAATTATTGAAAAAATTATTTTTCTTCCATTTTATTAATAATTCGTTAAGAAACATCCACAATCTTTGAAAATATTTGTTTTTTTAACAGCACTGCCATATGTTTTGATATAAATTCTCATTGAAATTTGGTAGCACTGTTGATTTTTACCTAAAATAAATTGAGAGCAAGAGAGTAAATTTGAGTATGACGCTGAGCAAAAATGAATAAAATCTATTCTAGCGTCATGCCGCTAGACGCGAACGTCAGCCGTCGCGATTTCCCGTTGCCTATAAGAAACACACGGCAAACGACTGTCGCTGACTCTAGACTCTATGGTTGCGTTTAGACTCTATGTTTAAATACACACACACACATTTCTATTTCTTCAGGATATAAAATCACTACGTTTTTTTTTCAAACTGAACTTTCTAAGGCAGCAACATCTCACGTACGTTGCCCAGTAATCGTTCACACAAAACAGCTGTTCTCTTTTGTTCACTCCCATCTCTCTCTTCAATTGACATTTGACTTGTTCATTTAACTGAACCCCCATTCTTTCTATATGGCAACACTTTTACCACCATTTTTTTGACAGCCGACTTTTTTTATCATCTCATCCCGTCATTTTTTTTCACGTTGGTTGGAAATGCATTATTAATTAAGAATTTATAAATTAATTTAATACGTATTGTGAGAGAATTTGCCCAGAAAGCAAAACGGCAATAAGGCGGCTTAAGAATAAACATGATTGCAACCAAAAGAAGTTGGTCCAAAGCGGTGGCGCTGTTTTTGCTCGTGACCACCACCATTAGTACGGTCAATTGTCTATATGAAGATCAAATCAAGAAATTTGACTGGTAAGTAAAAAAAGAGAGGGAGAGAGGAAAGGAGCAAAGGTTTTATTAAATAAAAAAGAAAAATGTGGGTCAAAATATAATTTTATTTTTAATTTGTCACTTCCTTTAGGAAAACCACACAAATTGGTGGGGTGAGTCAAGCCTATTTGGAATTGAACGGGTTCCAACCTCGTTTGCTGGTAAGCACCCGGGAAAATGTGATTGCTTCGCTGTGTCCCAAAACGGGGGAAATTATTTGGCGTCAAATATTCGAAAGTGGCCCCAGGGGTAACATAAAACTATTGCAGTTATCATCTGCTGCATCGGGTGGCGATAATACAGCAGCTGCCCGCCCAGGTACCACAAGCGGTTTTGATCTACTTACCGTTCAGGGTCATGCCCCGGCTTTGGTAAGAGGTTGGAATGCCAATACCGGCAATTTGGAATGGGAATGGTCTCTGATGCCAATACAAACAGAAAAGGCCGCCTCTTCTATGTGGTTTTATCGTAATGCCATGCTTTATCATGTTTTGCCGGTGTGGAAATCTCATTTGGAGGTGACACCTTATTTTGCTAGTTCTGGCCAGGCCACAGGAAATACAGCCAAGATTACCGCTCCTTGGATAACGGAGGAAAAATGTCTGTTAGCTGGTACCTATTTGGCATGTGTTGAGGGTAATCAATTGATTAGCTTGGATTTGACGGCAAATCAACCCCAAGTTTTAACCAAGGCATTGGGTGAAACGTCAGGAAAGCCAATTAAGGCTGTGGAGGTGAGATCTAAACATGTGTTATATTAAATAAATATTTATTAATATTCCTTGCTAATCTAGGGCCTAAATGGCGTTGTCATTGTTGATGGCAAACTGGTGCCAGTTAGGGATGACATCAAAACATGTGAATCCCTGCGAGGAGATAGTTTCACCATTGGCCGTTTCAATAATCAAAATGTCATTGTGACTGCCAGCATTAAGGATAAGGTAAATATATCATTCTGTCAATGTTTTTTTATTATGATAACATACCAAAATGTTTTTTTTTTAGAATCTTGTCATTGATGGCTATACCCTGGATACTTGCCAACAAGTTTCAGAACTTTCTCATTCTCTGGTGTATCCCGAACATTATGGCCCTGTTCAAATTAAAACATTCGATTGTAAAGTGAATCGTAACTCAGATGGCAAAGGTTGTTTATTTATTGCCGATACAACAGATGATAGTATTTTGGCCATACAACAATCGAAATTCCGTTGGACCCGATCGGAGGCTTTGGCAAATGTTATCGCCACGGAATTTATTGATTTACCCTTGGCCGATAGTGAGGGTGAATTGGAAAATGAGATGAAGGGAAAAGCTGGTGAGTTTAGTTTATTTTTAATACTATGCATAAGGGCTATTGGGTTAGTTAAGTTATATTAAGGGAATCTTAGGGGTTGTACTATATACATATATCTTTATAAACAAAAGTTTTAAGGTTATTTCGAAAATTGTGTCAAAAATTTTGTATTAATAATTTGTCCTCCCAAAATTTTAACTTTTAAATTGTTTAACACGCCACCTATCCCCCATTCGCATACTAAAGGTGAAGATCCAAGTTTGGAGAGTAAGTATATAAAAAGCTTCCTCATTGATGTAATTCAAATAGAAAATTATTTTTTTTTTTTTTGTTATGTTTTTTTGGTTCTCTGTTTTTAATTTCGTTCTTTTTTCATTTTTTTTTTTCTAATTTGAAAAAATATATTTTTTTGATGATATTTTTTATGGACCAGCAGAGCAGAGCGTATATTCTTTAAAAAATTTAAGATTATTTTTTAAGGTCCAGCAGAGCGTAGATTTTTTAAAAACTATTTTTTTAATGTTTTTAGGGTCATGTTTTTTAAAGACTATTTTGTAAGGTCCAGCAGAGCGTAGATTTTTTAAAGATTATTTTTAGATTATTTTTTTAAGGTCCAGCAGAGCGTAGATTTTTTAAAGATTATTTTTTTAAGGTCCAGCAGAGCGTAGATTTTTTAAAGACTTTTTTTTAAGGTCCAGCAAAGCGTAGATTTTTTAAAGATTATTTTTTTAAGGTCCAGCAGAACGTAGATTTTTTAAAGATTTTTTTTAAGGTCCAGCAGGTTAGGTTTTTTTTGAGATTACGGTGTATTAGGTTAGGGATTTTAGAGAATTTTTTTTTTAAGGTTAGGGCTCTTATAGATTTTTTAAGAATTTTTTTAGGTTAGGGCTTTTATAGATTTTTTAAGAATTTTTTTAGGTTAGGGCTTTTATAGATTTTTTAAGAATTTTTTTAGGTTAGGTTTTTGAGAGTTTTTTTCAGAATATATTTAAGGTCCTGCAGATCTTAGATTTATTTAAAGAATATTTTTAAGGTCCTGCGATCTTGGATTTGTTTATAAATATTTTATAAGGTTCTTCTGATCTTGGATTTGTTTATAAAATATTTTTAAGGTCCTGCTGATCTTGGATTTGTTTATAAAATATTTTTAAGGTTCTGCATAATATTTTTAGGTGAGGTTTTGTAGAGATTTTTTAAGGAATAATTTTTTAGGTTAGGGTTTTTAGAGATTTTTAAAGAATATTTTTAGGTTAGGGCTTTTAGAGATTTTTTTATGAAATTTTTTTAGGTTATGTTTTTGAGAATTTAGATTTTTTTAAAAAATATTTTTAAGGTCCTGCAGATATTAGATTTGTTTAAAGAATATTTTTTTTAGGTTAGGTTTTCTATTTTTGGAGATTTTTTAAAAAAAGGTTTTTTTATGTTCCATAAGAGCATATATATTTTAAAGAATGTTTTTTTTTTAGATTCCGTAAATTTTTAAGGAATATTTTTAGGTTAGGTTTTATAGAGGTTTTCATTTAATTTCTCTTATTTTTTATATCAATTTTTTTTATGTTTTCTTATAGTTTTAATATTTAATTTTTAGATTTAAAAATATATTTTAATTTTTTACTCCTATGTTATTAGTTTTTATTTCTGTTAATAGTTTTTAGATTTTTTTGTTTTTATTTATAATTTTGTATTTACGTTTTTTGTATTTTCTAATAATATTTTTAATTTTTTTAAGTATTTTTTTTTTTTTGTTGAATACTTTAATATTTAAAAGTCTATTCTAATACAAAAGACTCTTTTTTTCAATACATTTTATTTTCAAAAAAAATATTTAAATTTATATTTTTTAATTTCCTCTTCCCAAACCAGCCGATATTGTCAGTGCCTTCGCCCATCGCATTGGCTCACAAGTAATGCATTTCAAGAGTTTGCTGTTGCATGTCATTGGTTTGGGTGCCAAACCATCGGCCACACAAAAAGCCGGCATTGTAAGAGATGCCTTTGGCCTGCACAAAATGTTGGTGGTGCTCACAAAGAGTGGCAAAGTTTTCGGTATTGATAACATCAGTGGTAAACAACATTGGCAATTATATTTGAAAAATGTTGAAGAGTTTGGCAATGGTGAACAAATGCGTCTGCTGACACAACGGACAAGTAAACATTTCCCCCTCCAAGCATTGTGTGTGGTAATTGCTAAGGATAAATTATCTGGAAATGGTGTGTTGTATCGTTTTAATCCCATCACCGGTCAGCCAGCTGAAGGTGGCCTCCTCCAATTGAATTATAAAATTAAACAATTATCGTTGTTGCCGGAAACCGATACTGATTTTGTTAAGGGCATACTTATTGTCGATGCCAATGATAAGGTGCAAGTTTATCCCGAGAATGCTAAAGTGAAGGTAAAGATTTCTTTCATTTAATTGTATTGAAAATCAATAATTTGTTTTCTTTCCAGGCCGATGGTTTATACATATACACAGCCGATAAGTCCAAGGGATCCCTAAATGGTTTCCACGTTAAATATGAAAATAATGTAAGTTAAATATATTTATTTTTTGTTTTCCAAAAATAATTTATTTTTATGTTCTCTTCTCTTTACAGCAACTGACCACCATCCCCTTGTGGAATGTCGATGTCAGTGGCCACAATGGTGACCACGAAATCATTGCTGTTGCCTCCAAAAACCCCATTGAGCGTGTCCATTCGCAGGGTCGTGTTATGCCCGATCGTTCGGTTCTTTATAAATATATTAATCCCAATTTGGTGGCTGTATTCACTCAGGCCTCGGATAGTATACACAAATGTAGGTTCTAAAGGGATCATTAAGAGAGGGGAGAATAATATCTGTGTTATTTTGTTGTGTGTGTGTTTTGTTTTTGCAGATTTACTCAATGTCTATTTAATTGATGTTGTTTCCGGCTCGGTGGTCTTCTCAATGATGCATCGTAAAGTACGTCCCCCATTGCATGTGGTGCATTCAGAAAATTGGCTAGCCTATGCCCATTACAATGACAAAGTTCGTCGCACAGAAATAAGTAAGTATAGAAGGGAGGAATTATTAGAGGAGAATTCTGGAAGATAAAATACCTTTCAGAATACTCCTCTAGAGGAAAATTTTCCCCTCTAGGGAATATTTTACAAAAAAAGGTTTTTAAGGACCATTCAAGGACGTGGATTTAAGAAAAGAAGGAATGGAGAAAAAAGGGAATCTTTATAGACGAGCTGAAGGGAGTCTTTCATAGACGAGCTGAAGGGAGTCTTTCATAGACGAACGGAAGGGAGTCTTTCATAGACGAACGGAAGGGAGTCTTTCATAGACGAACGGAAGGGAGTCTTTCATAGACGAACGGAAGGGAGTCTTTCATAGACGAACGGAAGGAAGTCTTTATAGACGAACGGAAGGGAGTCTTTATAGACGAGCTGAAGGTAGTCTTTATAGACGAGCTGAAGGGAGTCTTTATAGACGAGCTGAAGGGAGTCTTTATAGACGAGCTGAAGGGAGTCTTTATAGACGAGCTGAAGGGAGTCTTTATAGACGAGCTGAAGGGACGAGCTGAAGGGAGTCTTTATAGACGAGCTGAAGGGAGTCTTTATAGACGAGCTGAAGGGAGTCTTTATAGACGAGCTGAAGGGAGTCTTTATAGACGAGCTGAAGGGAGTCTTTATAGACGAGCTGAAGGGAGTCTTTATAGACGAGCTGAAGGGAGTCTTTATAGACGAGCTGAAGGGAGTCTTTATAGACGAGCTGAAGGGAGTCTTTATAGACGAGCTGAAGGGAGTCTTTATAGACGAGCTGAAGGGAGTCTTTCATAGACAAGCTGAAGGGAGTCTTTCATAGCAGAGCGGAAGGTAGTTTTTCATAGACGAACGGAAGGTAGTTTTTCATAGACGAACGGAAGGGAGTCTTTCATAGAGGAGCTGAAGGGAGTCTTTCATAGACGAGCTGAAGGGAGTCTTTCATAGACGAGCTGAAGGGATTCTTTCATAGACGAGCTGAAGGGAGTCTTTCATAGACGAGCTGAAGGTAGTCTTTTTTAGGCCACCCGAAGATAGATTTATAGACGACTCGAATGGACGACCCGAAGGGAGTCTTTATAGACGAGCCGAAGTTGGTCTTTATAGACAAGCCGAAGTGGGTCTTTAAACACAAGCTGAAGTGATCTGAAAATGTTTTCTTTACTTAAAAAATATTTTTAATATTTTTTAAATTAATTTTAATAATAATTATTTGTTTATCATCTCTCCTCACAGCCACCATTGAATTATACGAAGGCAAGACACAAGCCAACAGCACGGTATGGAGTTCATTGAGTGCTCCTCCCATGCCATTGGTAGAAAGACAGACCTATATTATCCCAACTTTGGTTACCTCAATGAGGGAAACAATTACCGAGCGTGGTATTACCAGCAAGGATGTGTTGAGTAAGTTTTACCCACCTCTTTTAAACGTTAATTTCAAAATCTAATTTTCCTCCCATTCCAGTTGGCACATCTAGTGGCTCAATTGTAGAATTACCCTGGGCCTTGCTAGATCCTCGCCGCCCCATTTCTTCATCCTCCAATGGACGTGATGAAGGTGCCCTGCCCTATGTACCCGAATTGCCACTGCCCACTGAGAATATGATTAATTATAATCAAACCATACCCAGATTGCGTTATATCTACACCGCACCAAGTGGTTTGGAAAGTACCTGTTTGGTGGTCTCGGCTGGTTTGGGTAAGTTTTACAAAATATTTATTTTTAAATATTATTTTAATGAATTCGGTTTTCTCTCTTTTCAGATGTCTTTGTTACCCGCATTTCACCCTCGAAAACCTATGATTTACTTAAAGAAGACTTCGATTACATTCTGATTTCAATTGTTTTGGTGGTATTGACAACTGGCTCACTGGTGGCCAAACATTTAGCATCGCGCAAATCCCTTAAACAGGCATGGAAATAAGAACATCCAATCCTGCAAAACTTAACAAACAAAAAAATGACTTTTTCTAGCAGCATTAAATTAAATAAATTTTTTATATATAAATATTATGTATATCAACAAAAAATGGTTATATAGGAAAATTATAAAACAAAAAACAAAACAATTTACACAGAAAAACCACGCATACATATTTTATGATATATGTATGATTTTCCTGAAAGAAAAAAAACACTTCGATGATCTTTTGAAAATGCATTCGTGATTTGTTTTCTAATCATTTGCATTTGCAATTTCGTTTTGTGTGTAATAACAATTTAAACACATTTTGAATTTAAAACTAAAAAGGTGTTCCTGTTTTTTAAGTTATAATAGAATTTAACCTACAAATTTTCTTTCATTTGTTGTTAGTATCTACCACCTGTCGAATTCCTTTAAATTGATTTCTTTTGACATTTTTTTTTTGTTTTGTGTGGTTACAAAAGCCAAGAGTCATTTATCTATAAATATATATAAATAATTAAATAAAATTATGTTTTTGTTTAGATTTAAATTATAAATTAAATTACATTACAAAATAAATAAAAACAAGAAACAAATTCAAAATAATTTTAATGGCATATTTAGGTCCAAGGTCCAAACAAAGCGTGAATTTTTTTTAAAGGGAGTCTCTATAGACGATCGAATGGGAGTCTTTATAGACGAGCTGAAGGAAGTCTTTCATAGACGAACTGAAGGAAGTCTTTCATAGACGAACTGAAGGGAGTCTCTATAGACGAGCGAAAGGGAGTCTCTATAGACGAGCGAAAGGGAGTCTCTATAGACGAGCGAAAGGGAGTCTCTATAGACGAGCGAAAGGGAGTCTCTATAGACGAGCGAAAGGGAGTCTCTATAGACGAGCGAAAGGGAGTCTCTATAGACGAGCGAAAGGGAGTCTCTATAGACGAGCGAAAGGGAGTCTCTATAGACGAGCGAAAGGGAGTCTCTATAGACGAGCGAAAGGGAGTCTCTATAGACGAGCGAAAGGGAGTCTCTATAGACGAGCGAAAGCGAGTCTCTATAGACGAGCGAAAGCGAGTCTCTATAGACGAGCTAAAGGGAGTCTCTATAGACGAGCGAAAGGGAGTCTCTCAAGACTAGCTGAAGGAATTCTATCAGGACGAACTAAAGTTATTATTTCTAGACGAGCCGAAGAGAGTCTTTATAAACGAGCTGAATAGAGTGTTTCTTAACGACCTGATGGGAGGGTTTCAGGACGAGCTGAAGGGAGCCTTTCATGACGAACTGAAGGCAGGCTTTTCAGACTAGCTGAAGGTAGTCTTTATATACCAACTGAAGGGAGTCTTAATTAACGAGCTGAAGGGAGCCTTTCAGGACGAGCTGTAGATAGTATTTCTTAACGAGCTGAAGGGAGCCTTTCAGGACGAACTGAAGGCAGTCTTTAAGGACGAGATGAAGGGAGTCTTTCTAGGCGAGCTGAAGCCGGTCTTTATAGGCGACCTGAAGAATATTTTTCCAACATACCACTGAAGCGTAGATTTTTTAATGAATATTTTTTTAAGACACAACAGAAGTGAGGATTTTTTACAGAATATTTTTTTAAACGTAGATTTTTTGAAGATTTTTTTCTTTGATTTTTAAAGAATTTTTTTGAGATTTTTTAAGGATTTTTTTTAAGATTCCTTGATGACATTTTTGTTAGATTTTTTTAGATTAATTCTTCAAAACCCATAAATTTTTAAATGTTTTCATATTAATCTTTATTCAGTACTTTTTATTTTTCAATATATATGTATTTATATTTCATTACATACAAATATGTAAAAATGTACTTGTAATTGCAAAATCTTTTAAAATTCTTATCATAAATTAGGAAATAAATTAAAATGCAAGAGATTCAAAAGTGAGTATTCAAAAATACAAAACTAAACTAAAAGACTAGAAGGGAAAACTTTGGACTGTCGTTAAATGTCTGTTATTCAAAGACTTGTGCATCATTGTCATGTCTTGGGAGAGCTGGGGGGGAAGACAAAAGGCCATCATCTCTGTTGTCTACATTTTGCTTTACAAATGCTAGAAATCAGTAACAATTTCACCCTCTTCATGGCGTCGAATGGGATCACCTTTGAGTAAAGCCGAGATCATGCTGCAAAACAAATGTGTATTCATTTAAAATATTATCGAAGGAATAAGTTTTTTATATACTTACAAATATAATCCTATAAAGAACATAACAAAATAATAACCCAAATAGATCATGGTATTTCTCAGGTGCACCTTCAACAGACCACGGCTGTGAATATCCACCGGATCGTAAACACCCAAACTATCTCTGGGCTGTTTATACAATTCATAACCCAACCATGTCACCATCGGTACATTCAGGAAGAACATTATCCAATGGCCACCCAATAGCAGCAGAACACACAATATCAAATGGGAACCGAATTTCGGTATAACCCAGAAATTTAAACGACTGCAGCATTCTTGGGCATTCAAATAATCGCATTCTAAATCGGCCAGGGTCAAAACCTAATTGAATAGGAAATTTATGTTACAAATTAGGTACTGAGGTTTCGGTATTTTATGCTCTATTTATTTATTTTGGAAACTTACATAGTATATCAGCAGGAAGAGTATTGCCCCATAAACAATTAGTCCAATGGCAAATGTAACGGTTTCTGGCAACATTTTTCACTATGTTGCAATGTGTTTTATTTATAAATTTGTTTGTTCTTGTTTTCGATTTACTGTAATTCTATTTCCTGTTTAATTAAGGTTTAATCAGCGGAGAAGCTTGCTGTTTTTTTCTATGCCATTTGAATTGATAGCCCAACAGTGTGTGGAGAGAAGAAGCAGAGAATATGTAGGCAAACAATTCACAGTGCAGTGGTATAACATATGGCATCTCTCTTAACTGTAATAGAGAATTGTTGTTTTGTGCATGATTATTCGGTTGTACAAGGAAAAATAGAAGTTTTTGCTGTTTATCCTTGGGAAAAATCCCATACTTATAGTTGTTGTAATCCATGAAAACGTATTCTTTAAAAATCCACACTTCCAGGCCTGTGGATCTATGAAAAAGTATTCTTAAAATTCCAAACTTCTAGGCCTGTGGGTCTATGAAAAAATAGTCTTAAAAAATCCAAGCTTCTAGGCCCAACAGGCTATTAAAAAATATTCTTAAAAAATCCATGCTTCTAGGCCCAAAAGGCTTTTAAAAAATATTCTTAAAAAATCCACGATTCTGGCCCAAAAGACTAATAAAAAACATTCTTGAAAAATCCACGATTCATTCTTAAAAAAATCACGCTTCTAGTATTGTTGGGGTTTTAATATTCTTTAAAAATTCAAGTTTCTAGGCTTGTAGGTCTATTAAAAAAATATTCTTTAAAAATCTACGTATTTATTACTTGGAAAAAATCTAAGCCTTCTATTACTTTGGAAAAATATTCTTTAAAAATCAACGCCTCCTATTGGCCCGAAAAAAAATATTTCTTAAAATCTACGGCTCCTACTAGCCCTCCTAATGCCATGTCCAGACGAGCGTTGTTCGCTCTCTCATTCGTTGTTCGACCCTTAATTATGAAGGAATTACTTAGTTCCCCATACAAAATTGTCTGAGCGAACACCGACTTTTGTACGTTGTTCAATTCGAATCACTCTCTGAATAACCAATAAATTTGTCCCATCCCTAACAATTGAGAGTATTTATCGAAAATAAATTAATTTTGACAGTTTGAAAATATTTATGAAATTTTCAAACTTTTTCAGTAAAATTGAAAATCATGAATGAAAAGTAAAAAATTGTATAGTTTTTAAATATGCAGCAGGATGTCAATTTTGTTATCTACATAATGCAATGTGAATTTCTTTCCCCTTGGTTCTAATTAGCGTACAAAACAAGAAACAAATTTGGGGAAACTCAAACAAAAAATTCTCCAAATTTTCATATGTGACATTTGAATTTAGAAAATATAAAAATGTATGAAAAGAAGAATATTTTCAGAAAAAATGGAAAACATGAATTAAAAGTAAATAGATATGGGTTCATACTATACACAGGAGAAAGAGAATTAATTTTTCTATTTAGATCCATATGTGATTCATGTAAATATGTTAGAATTTTGGCGTAAAACTAGAAACAAAAAGTTTGAAATAAAAAACTCTGATAACATGAATTAAGAATAGTGTTGTATGAACGGGTTAATTCATGTACGTAATTCTGAGAGCGAACTACGTTGTTCGATTGCCCGTCAGAACATGGCATAAAATACTACGTTATTCCGATATTTGTTATCCACCGTTTTTTTTTTATTATTAAAAATATTATTGTTTCTACTGATAGGTAATCGGTTCAAGTAATCATCCAACATTAATCTCTCTTATAAACATGCTCTCTGTTTACACTGTTTACTGTGAGAAAGGGAGAGAGAGAGCGACAAAACAGCTGATTGCGGTTTCATGCTGTAGCAGCGGCAGCAGCTGTTACATACGGTCTTTTCTTCTTCATCAATTCGGTCAAGAGTGCGTGCATAAGGAACCAACATGGCTCTGCGTGTTTTGGGCTTAAATCTCTTAAAAAATAACACAAATCTGGTGCAGGGCTTAAGCCGCCTAAATAATGGCGCTGTGGCAAGTGTTGTAAGTATAATTTCCGTGGGAGCACATGGAAATTTCATTCAAAAAATATTAAAAAAATGTCTAACATGCATGTTTCTTCTTGCATAACCTTGTAGATGTTCCAGTTGCCAAATGCCAGCTATAGTACGGAAGTAACCGTTCAGGCAGCACCCTTGGCCATTAAAAAGCAAAAAGTTAGCAAGGCCATGAAGGCGTATTTGGAACGTGCCCAAGAGCATGATGAATTCATGAAAACTCAACATTTGGAATATCAAATTGGTAAACGTCATTTGGCCAATATGATGGGTGCAGATCCAGAAACATTTACCCAGGAGGATATTGATGTAAGTCTTGTTAAATAGTTTCTTATTGGAATTATTTTGTTTAATTTGTTGTTGTATTTTCTGTTACAGAATGCCATTGAGTATTTGTTCCCATCGGGTATTTATGACAAGAAGGCCCGTCCAGCCATGAAAAATCCCGATGAAGTATTCCCCGCCCGTAAGGCAGCTGAATTTGATGAAACCGGTCGTCCATTCCACAGCATGTTCTACACGGGCAATCCGAATTTCTTTAAATTGTTATATGTAAGTACATTTCGTTTTTTTATTATTATTGAGCAAGATGATGAACCGGATGTAATCAATTAGCTGAGAGTAGTTGCAATGATTCTCGTTCGTATGATTGTATAAGATGTCGGAATAGCATCACAAAATACTTGAGAACTATACAAAAAATATATGGAACATTGATACAATTTTCAGACATATGCTTAGAAGAATGGATTTTTAAAGACTACTTTTTCACAGACCAACATAACTACATGTGTTTTTTAAAGAAGATTTTTTCAAAGACCAACATCCCTAGAATCGCGGATTTTTTATTGATATTTTTTTCATAGGTCAACAGGCATAGAGGCGTGGATTTTTAAAGAATATTGTTTCATAGACCATCGGGGCTAGAAAAGTACATTTTTAAAGGACATTTTTTCGTGGATCAACAGACGTAGAAGCGTCGATTTTTAAAGAACATTTTTCGTTGACCAACAGTCGTAGAAGTGTTCATTTTTAAATAAAATTTTCATCGACCAACAGACTTAGAAGCTCAGATTGTTAAAGCCTATTCATTCATAGACAACCAGGGCAAGAAGCGAACATTTTTAAAGAAAAATTTTCATTGACCAACAGATCTAGAAGATCGGATTTTTAAAACCTATTCTTTCATAGACACCTTGGGCTAGAAGCCAGGATTTTTTAAGAATATTTTTTATAGACAATCTGTGCTAGAAACGTGGATTTTTAAAGTGTATTTGTACATAAACCATCAGGGCTAGAAGCTCGGATTTTTAAAGACTATTTTTTATAGACAATCTGGGCTAGAAGCTCGAATTTTTAAAGAACATTTTTTCATAGACCATCGGACCCACAAGCGAGTATTTTTAAGGAATATTTTTTTCATAGACTAAGAAGCCTATAAGCTTGGCCTAGAAGCGCGGATTTTTAATGAATATTTTTTCATAGACAACCTGAGCGAGTATTTTTAAAGAATATTTTTCTCATAGACCAACAGGCCTAGAAGCGCGGATTTTTAATGAATATTTTTTCATAGACAACCTGAGCGAGTATTTTTAAAGAATATTTTTCTCATAGACCAACAGGCCTAGAAGCGCGGATTTTTACATAATAATTTTTCATAGACCATTGGGGGTAGATGCGAGGACTTTTAAATAATAATTTTTTTGTGAACCAACAGGCCTACAAGTAGATTTTTAAAGAATATTTTTTTCATAGTCCATCGGGACTAGAAGCATAGACTACAACATCGGGACTAGAAGCAAGACTACAAGCGAGGATTTTTAAAGAATATTTTTCATAAACCAACAGGCCTAGAAGCGTGAATTTTTAAAGAGTATTTGTGCATAGAACACCATTGCTATAAGCGTGGATTTTTTAAGGAATATTTTTTTCATAGACCAAAACACCTAGAAGCTTAGATTTTTTAGAGAATATTTTTCATATACCAACAGGCTTAGAAACGTGGATTTTTAAAGCATATTTTTTATAGAAAACCTCAGCTAGAAGCGAGGATTTTAAAAAAATATTTTTTTATAGGCCAACAGACCTAGGATCGAGGATTTTTAAAGAATATTTTTCATAGACCATCGGGACCAGAAGCTTGGATTCTTATAAAATATTAGTATTAAAAAGCGAGAAGTTATGGGGACCAAAGGATCTTTATCGAAGATTCTTTTACAAATTTTGATCAACGCTTTTTTGCTATTTTATTGATTAAATTGAATATCGATTTTCTCTCTTTTCCAGGACATTGTTGAGGAACTCAACAAACTATACGATTTAGAGGAACGTATGCTACGTCGTGGTCAAAAGGCCGATCCCAATCAAAGAGTGTAAGTATTTTCAAAACAAAATAACAAATAAAATTATTTAATCGATTTTTATTCCTTCAGGGACCTAACCGGTTTCAATTGGGTATCCAAGGACAATTTAGAATTACGTTTGGTTGAGAAAATCTCCGATATCGAATATAATAGTTTTATTGCTTCAATGGAACGTTTAGTTTCACATCCATTTTCGTACAAATGTAAAGCATTTATCGATGAATATACCAAGCCGCTAATGGATCATGCCAGTTCATTGGAAATCCCTAAGCCACACATTGATGAACAGGGTAGACAATATATTACAACTTATGGTAGGTTATACAGGATTTCCAAGAGATGTATTTTTTTATTAACTATTGTTGTTGGTTTTTTAGAATGCCTACGTAAAACTGCACGTGCTGATGTCACAATTCGCGTTCCCGGCACCGGAAAAATCACCATTAATGGCAAAGATATTACCTATTTTGAAGATACACAACCACGTGAACAGGTGAGTCGATTTGTTTCTTTATTTTTTTATTTGTATCTGTGTGGTTGAAATTAAACAGAAGCTGTGAAATGAGATGAAATGAAATCATAATGAGGAAAACATAATAGAAATATTTTAACTGAAATATGTAAAGAAAAGCCTTACCATTTATAGAGGCTATGCAAATATATGGGACCGAGATAAGCATGAATATTTAAAGAATATTTTTCATAGACCAACAGGTCTAGAAGTGTGGACTTTGAGGATTATATAAGGAATTATTTTTTATAGACCTTGGAGGATAGTAACGAGGATTTTTAAAGAATACTCTTCATAGGCCATAAGAGCAAGGATGTATATTTAAAAATAATATTTTTTCCGAGACATCTCGGTATAGTAACGTGGGTTTTTAAAGAAGGTCCTAGAAGAGTGTTTTTAAATTTTTTTTCATAGACCAATAGACCAGAATAGTAGATATTTTTTATATATAATATGAGCTTGAATCGTGAATATTTAAAGAATAGTTTTTCACAGACCAACAAGGCTAGAAGCGTGCATTTTGAGGAAATTTGTTCATAGAGTTACAGAGCAAGGAGTTACATTAAAAAAAAAAACTAATAGACTCTTAAAATAAAAGGCTTTTAAAAAATATGCTTCCATTGGTTGTTAAAAAATTATATTTTTAATTGATCTTCTATTTTAAGAATATTTTCATAAGCATTTTAAAAGAAGATCAGCACTAAAAATAGGCCTCGATTTTCTGAAGAATATTTTTTCAAAATCCAACAACATGGAAAATTATTTGTTGACCATGAGGATCGTAGATTTTTTTTTTAAGAATAAGGTTCATAAGAAGCCTACGGTTTTTCTAAGAATATTTGTTTACGATTCAAAAGATGTGTTGATTTTAATAAAAATATTTTTTTTACGGATCCGGAGAAGAGTAGATTATTTAGACATCGTAGTATAAAAAATAAGTATCAAAGTTCAAAAGAATCACATTTTTATGGACTAAGAGAAGAGTAGATTTCTGTTCGGTTTTGAACTAAAATCTACGTTTCTCTTAGTCCTTAAAATGTGCTTCTTTTGAACATTGATATTTTTTTAAATCAACGAGACCTTAAATATTTTTTTCAACGCCCAACAGAAGTTTAGATTTTTCTGGGACCACTCATGGCCTTGTGGCTAGGTTCATCCATGAAAATAAATTGAAGTATATTTTTTTGAGTACCAAGTTTGTTTATTTTGTCCTTTAAAGAATATTAGAGCGAATTTGTGAAGAAGTGAATATTAAAAATATTTCAGAACAAATTTCCATAATAAAACTATAAATTTTGTTTGCCTCCATGTAATGCTACTGCTGGTGCATTCAACATATTTTCGGTGTTTTAAGTTTCCTTCGAGTTCCAATGGGATTTTCAATATATGAATTGCACAAAAAAGAAAATCGAACTTACCTCTACATTCTTTCAAAATAAAACACAAATTTGATTACACAATAATTTTATGTACAAGTGTATAGTTAATTGTTTCTATATAGTTTGAAATATTTATATAGTATTTTTTGTTGCATCTACAATTTAAAATTGAAACACACATTGAACAAACTCACACATACACAGCCTTAACGTTATTTGAAAAGAAAAGCGAAAATTAAAAACCTACAAACTAACAACACTTAACAATAGTTTCGTTAAAATAATTACTAAAAATAAATTATAACTTTAATTATTTGATGACTATTTAAAAAAAAAAACAATTATATATATAGGTATGACAATATTATAGATATAATGGGTAATAGATTTTTTTTGAAATTGAAATTGAAATTTTGTTTATTTATTTTTTTTGGAAATACTTTAACATTAGGGTGGCGATATTACATAATAATACATGGGATAAATTAGAATGTTTGGGGCGTGATATAAAATTTCGTATAATGTTTTAAATATATTCCTTATACAAATGTCAATTGCTTAAATATTATATAGGATATTTTGGACTTTAGGCATAATAGTTATACTATATATTTTTGTATTATATCTCAAAATGTTCCATAATTCTTTAAAAACAGCAACACAAACTGTATTTCAATCTGGAATAACCAAATTTCATTATTTCTCTAGAAATCATCAAATTTTTTTGCGATGTTAAAATTATTCAAAAATATTTTTTTTTTCAAAAATTACCGCAAACGAGGATTTTGTAAATATGTTTTTATACATAGATAAAAAATTTGGGGATCAGGAAAAGGAAAATGATCGAATTCTAAGCAAAGTTTTTTTCTAAAGAAATATTTTTCAGCGTTTATTATAGTTATAAGGATTTTTAAATGAGGATTTGAAGATGACCCTTATAGATGACATTTTTATTGAATTTTTGGAGGAGTTTGTAGAGGTCCTACGTTTTGAAAATATTGTTCTAATCGAAGACTTATAGTGGGTATTTATGAGGACTTATTTTATTTAAATAATTTATTATACCAATAAATGGAGAATTTTGAAAATCTCGTGTCTCAAAAATAATATCTATTCAATTAAATTCAATTCTATTTAAAATTTCATATATCAGGCACAATTTTTTTATTTCAATATTTGTTTACATTATGGATTTTATTAACATAAAATTCGCTATCGATAATTATATTTAACTAAATATAAAATTTAATATATTTACATTATTATAAAGTATATATAAATATATTTTTTTTTATGAATATTTAATTTATATTTATAATAATGTTTTAGTTAATAATAATTTCAAATATTTCATTTTCTTTCGAGTTATCGATAACTTTGGCTCTCTTTACTAAAAATTTATATAAATTAATTTCGTTATTTATAGATACATTTTTTATTACTATTTTCACAAAAAAAAAAAAAATATTTTCAAAAATTTATCGATAACATTTTGATAAAATCGATAAATATATTTATCGATTAGTTACTTTATTTGTTTTTTTTATAATTATTTTTTTACTTGGTAATAATTATTAAAAAATATAATTTTTCATTTAATTAGAAAAATATGTATATATCACTTTTGGTTTAATTTTTTTAATTAAATTCGTTATTTATATATAAATCTGTTCACAAAAAAAAAAATAATTTATTAAAGTCGATAAATATATTTATCGATTCGTTACTTTTTTGTAGTTTTTAGAGTTATTTTTTATACTTTTGGTAATAATTATTAAAAAATATATATATATATATATATATATATATAAATTTTATTTTAGTTCTTCCATTTTTTAGTAAAATTTCAAATAATTTATTTGTTTTTTCATAAAATATTTTCAATTATTTATCGATAACAGAAATCATGTTTAAAAATAATATTTTTTTATTTATAACAATTTCATTATTCATATTTTTCTTTGTTTCCATAAAACATAACATTTATCGATAATTTTTTTCATAAATTCAGTTTTTTGTTCGCTTTTATTATTTCCATAACGATATTTTTCTCTTGGTTCTCAGTAAAAAATTGCAGTTATCGATATTTATCGAAAATTATTGTTTTCCTTTACAATTCATATTCTTAAATTATTAATATTTTTTCTTTATTATTATTTAACAACTCTTTTTTTATTATTATAATTTATCGATAATTATCGAAAAATATTATTTTTCCTTTGAAGTTTAAATTTTTTATTTAATTTTTCATAAATTTTTATCATTTATCGATTATTATCATTATCGATCTTTTATCGATAATTACCGAAAATATTTTTCCTTTGGAGTTTAAACTATTTAATTTAATTTTACATAACTTATTTTGATCAGTTTTATTACATTTTAAATAATTATTCAATAGATTCTATGAAAATTGCATTTATCGATATTTATCGAAAATAATTGTTTGTCTTTTCACTCCACTTTTTTATTGATTTTCATAAATGACTTTCATTTATTGTGCTGATTAATTTTTTTGCAACTCTTTTTCTCCATTTCAGTAGATTTCATAAAAAGTATGGTATTTATCGATAATTATCGAAAATATTTCCCTTGAATTTCAAAATCTCTATTATTTAGTTTTTCATAAATTATTTCTATTTTTTCATAAATAATTTGTTTTTGGTTCAATATAAAAAATGACATTTATCGATAATTATCGAAAAATTTTTTTCTTTGAATTTTAAAATTTTTGTTTATTTATTACCATTTTTGTTCTTTTATATTATTTCGCAACTCCTTTTCTGTTAATTCCATGACACAAATTACATTTATCGATAATTATCGAAAATATTTTTTCCTTTGAATTTCAAATTATTTTATTACTTTTCATAAATTATTACCATTTTTTGTTCTATTATATTATTTCGCAACTCTTTTTCTGTTACTTTCATAACACAAATTGCATTTATCGATAATTATCGAAAATATTTTTTCCTTTGAATTTCAAAATTTTTTTATTAAATTTATAAATTATTTCCATTTTTATGTTCTCTGTTATTTTCTCAAATTATTTTTCTGTTGATTCGATATTACAATTAATAATTTATCGATAACTTTGCTAGCCTGTTGTTGCTGTGTAATTAGTGCCTGTTTAAGTTCTTGAATTTCTTGTGTTAGATATTCAATACGATCGGTGTTGTCATCAATTTTGGTATTGATATTTGCCAAAACGGTGGCCTCAAAATCTTCCGGTGCATAGGGGGTACTGGGCGTCGATGGGGTCTGTACCGATTCGCTGTTGTATTTATTCTTATACGATAGATATGTGGCATCGGAATTCTTAGCGGATATTGTGTGGCCAAAATGTTTACGCATTTTTCCGACCTCATAGGCTTTCATGAGTATATCACGGGGTAAACGTTTTTCGCTGGGGTTTAGGGGTTTTACACAGAGTACCACACGATAGGCTTGTGGGGAAACGAGGGCCGTATAGTGCAGCAAATTACGCAACCAGGTGGGTAAATACCCATTAAATAACGCTGATTCGATATAGGAAATTAATTTCGTTTGTCGAACAAGTTTGGAGAGTCCCGCAGTTTTCTTCAGCCCCTGAATGTCATGGACGGCAATACCCACGAGGAGATTCATGAGAATAATCGTAACGAATAGCAGGAATAATACAAAGGTAATTTGAGCACTAACTTCTAATAGGAATGGTGGATCTTTACCATCCGGATCATTGATAAGCAAGGAGAGATCCTGTTCTCCAATCATCATGACCAGCACGGAAATAAAACCCATAAACGGATTGGCAAACGAAGAGGAGGAGGGGAATATCACACAAAAGGAAATGGTAAAACCGATCAACATACACGAATAGGCCATGAAGAGTTTGGCAAATTCCCCCTGCACCCGGGTGTACATGGCCACATAGACATCGAATACGGGAAGCTGGCCAATCATCAACATGAGATTTGTCCAACCCAGCAGTACCGCAAATGCGCCAATGTGATTTTGAAAGGTGTACGTTTTCTTCGTATAAACATAGGATATAAGGAAGACACTGGTGATCACAAACCATTCCATAATGTTCTCCACCTGGGTGACATAGTGACGAAATGAGGAGTAACCCGTTATGCCATATAACTTTCGACATATCTCCACTATGGTGATGGCCACCAGGACACCCCATTGCATTTCCATGACAAAGGGATTGCTACGCAACATATCACCGAGGATGGATTGCGACTGGCACAGCTCCTGGGCCTGTATGGTCGAATTATCATTGTTGCTGACATTGTAGCAGTTGTGGGCCAGGGCAGTGAGGACATAGATCGTAAGGAATATCACGAAAATAAAACAGAATATCAAACGTCCTATATAATATTTTCTAATTTTACCCCATTTTATGTAGAGGAACGAGGAGCACAGCGGATGTTCCAAAATCTCCTTTTGGCCCTCGTCGACGAAGGTGTTCAAATAGCTAATTTCGCGAGGATGGCAATGTTGCAGCAGTTGGCGGAAATCCAATTCCAATTCCACTTCACGATTGACGGGATCCTGGGAGTGATGCAGAGTTATGGCAGCATCCAATTTCTGGCGAATCATGGCCACAGAGGCTGGGGTTTTACGTGTGATGACATTCAGGGCACTGGTACCCTTTTTCGATTTTGTGGTAACATCTGCTCCGTGATATATCAACATTTCCACACAGGGAGCCAGGCCATCAAGGGCAGCCAAATGCAACGCGGTAAAGCCATAGATGTCCTTGTGATTGACATTGGCCCCCCACTGTATCAGCAGTTCCATAATATCAAAAGCATTTTCCGATTTACCAATAGCGGCATGCAGCGGAGTGCGATGATCAAAATCTTCCGCATTCGGATCAGCATTACCATTTCTCAGTAGAGACTCAACACATTCCAAACTGGAGGTACGGGCAGCCAAATGTAAGGCCGTGAAACCACGATGATTTTTCAATTTGGCATCGGCCCCCTTGGCCAGCAGCAGATCCACACACTCCACATTACCCTCATCAGCGGCCAAATGCAAAGCTGTCGACTCTTTTTCGCGAATACAAATCCTTACATTCGGATCAGCCCCTGGGGCTCTCAATAATATCTCCAAACATTGGGCATTACCCAAATCCGCTGCCAAATGTATGGCATTTGTACCATTCGGTTTCAGGCTATTCACATCGGCACCTTCGTTGATAAACAACTGCAGGCATTCCAGGGCATTGGCCCGCACCGCACAATGCAGCAAACTTTCCTCACAATTGGGCTTCGTCGTATCGATGGATATTTGGGCACCATTATTGATTAAATATTTCGCTGCCTCAGTGCTATTACCAAAGGCCGCACAATGCAGCGGGGTATAACATTTCGGTTGGAAATTAACATTCATACCCTTTTGCACCAGGAAATTCAATGTCGACAGGCAGCCGCTAAAGGCGCCCAAATGCAATGCCGATATACCATTTTGATCACAAAAATTCAATTCCGCCCCAATATCGAGCAGACTTTGCAGTAGATCCCATCTCTTCAAGAAGGCCGACCACAAGTAACATAAATTCTTTTCAATTTGTGAGGCAGATTCGAAATGGGTCTTTGTATTATCCCCAATGACATTTCCCTGTTCGATGTCTTCGAAGTAGCGTATACGCCCGGCGGCATTTTTCATTTGATCGATGAGGCTAATGCGCAGCGTATCATTGCATATTTGTACGCTCAGCTCACTGGTGGGTTCTTCGAAACTATCATACATACTGGGTGCACTTTCAGCCGGTGGCGATGGTCCACATTCCATATATTCAAATTCTCCGGGTGTTGGATATTGGGCTTCGATCATAGCATCGGTATTGTTACGCCATCTGACCATTAGATTGGGCGGTATGGATTTTAAGCTGCACGGACATGGAAAAAGGAAAAAAAAAACAAAAAAGAGGGGAGAGGTTAAAAAAATAATTGAGGTTAGGTTTAAGGTATATATTTTTAAAAATTATTTAAAATAAAGCTGGAGGTTAGTGTGTTAGAAAAGGTATTAAAAATGGTGTAGTATAAGTTAGTTAACATTTAGATATGTAAAAAAAAGTGTATCGAAATGAAGACCTTCCGATCTTTTTTGAAAATATCTTCTAAGGGTTTTTATTAAAATATATTGTGGACTTCAAGAAAATATTTATAGGTTTATAGAAGATATTCTTCTCTTGGCAGTCCCGCTACTAAGAAAATCTGTGATATCGAATTCTCCTAAGGAAAATAATGACCAAATGCTTTATATAAGAAATGTTCCTTCTATTGGAAGTTCCGCTTCTCGTTATCTGAGATCTGAGATATCGTTACCTCTTAAGAAAAAAAATGTCGAAATGGAAAAGTACCCTCTTGTGCCATATAGGTTTCGACCTATATCATCAGCACTTCGCATTGCATTTCTAAGACAAAAGGGATTGCTACGCAACATATCACCCAATATGGACTGCGATGAACACAATTTCCGAGGACTATATGGTGGAATTATCATTATTGTTGATTCCGTAGCTGTTGTGGGCCATGTCGGTGAAGGACATAAATCGTAAGAAATATAACAAAAATTAAAACCGAAAATCGAACATCCTATATAATACATTTCCAATTTCCTTTTATAGTTTTCCATAAGAGGAAGAACTTCGGGACTTCTATGGGAATACCTCCATAATAAAACTTGCCGACATGCTAGAGGAAACATACCTGGAAGAGCCCCATTTGCTATCCTATGAGAAGATATTTTGACATCCCTAAGAAGAAATTCTAGTCAGTAAAAAAAGGTCTTTCGGATCCTTCGAAAAAAAGGATTTTTGAACTTTCGACGATTTAAACTTCTATAAGAATGCCCTTTTAGTAATAGTATAAGAATAACTTCCTGATTTTGTAAGAGGACCCTATACCCAGACTTTTTGGTTTTCTATGGTCTATGGTTTTTGGTCTTCTATAGAAAGACCATTAAGTCTTCCATAAAAATATATATTGTAGACTTCCATGAGAAGACCTAATGGACTGGTTTTTAGGTTAACAAGACCTTTTTTCTATAAGAAGATCTACTCATATTCAATCAGAACACTTTTTTGGTGTCTTCTCTGAGAAGACCATCTGATCTTCTATGAGAAAACTTCTAATCTTCTAAGACATGCTAGTCTTTTAGGAGAAGAACTTTTGGTCTGCTATGAGAAGACCTTCTGGTCTTCTAAGAGAAAAATACCTTCTAATCTTCTAAGAGAAGACCTTCTAATCTTCTAAGAGAAGACCTTCTGTCCTGCTACGAAAAGACCTTCTGGTATTCTAAAAGCAGCCCTTTTGGTGTTCTAAGTGAAGACCATCTGGTCATGAGAAGAACTTCTGGTCTTCTAAGAGGAGAACCTTTGGGCGTCTATGAAAAGACCTGCTGGTATTCCATGAGAAGATATTCCAATCTTCTAAGAGTAGACCTTCTAACCTTCTAAGAAAAGACCTTATTTTTTCCTTGAGCAGACCATCTGGTCTTCTAATGAAAAAAAACTCCACAAGAAGACCTGGTCTAATATGACAGAATATCATCTTGCCTTCCTTGACGTTCTGGGCGTCTACGAGAAAATCTGAATTCCGTATTTTTATTTATTTTATTTAACACGATAGAGCTCTAAATTTTGCACACATATTGCTATTACTCCAAGCATGCTTGATAATGAAAATGAGATTTATCGGTCAACCTTTTGGTATAGCTCCGGTACCCCCAAATAATGGGTATTTTAAAGATTTTAATCGCATTTTTCAACCGAATTTACTGTAATTTGCTACTTTGGGTTTTCATTAGAAAGGAAATCTCTTCACGAAAAATTGTCAATATGGGTCCATTTTTTATTGTGGCACCCATATAATGGTACCTCCGAAATTTCGATATTTTGAGGAGTTTGGGCACATTTTTCAAGCGAATTAGCTGTAATTAGGTATTTTCTCATTGGGTAGAGAATATCCCACCAAAAATAATAAACATTGATCCACTTTTTATGGTAGCCCCCATATAATCGAACCTCCCAAATTTCGATATTTTTCGGTATTGGGCAAATTTTTCAACCGAAGTGAGTGTAATTTGGTATTTTGGGTTCTCATTGGGTGGATAATCTCCCCACTAAAAATCATCAACATTGATCCACCTTTTAGATTAGCCCCCATATAATGGTGCCTCCGAAATTTCGATATTGTGGGAGTTTGAGCACATTTTTCAACCGAATTGGCTGTAATTTGAAATTCTGGGTTCTCACTGGGTAGAGAATATCCCCACCAAAAATTATCAATATTGGTCCACTTTTTAGGGTAGCTCTCATATAATGGTACCTCCGAAATTTCGATATTTTGGAAGTTTGAGCACATTTTTCAACCGAATTGGCTGTAATGTGAACTTTTGGGTTCTCACTGGGTAGAGAATATCCCCAACAAAAATTATCAATATTTGTCCACTTTTTAGGGTAGCTCTCATATAAAGGTACTTCCGAAATTTCGATATTTTTAGGAGTTTGGGCACATTTTTCAAGAGAGTTGTTTGTAATTTGGTATTTTGGGTTCTCATTGGACAGTAAATCTTCCCACAAAAAATTGTCAATATTGGTCCACTTTTTAGGGTAGCCCCCATATAGTAGTACATCCAAAATTTCGAAATTTTGAGGATTTTCAGTAACTTTTTCAACAAAAATTGATTGTAATTTGGTATATTGGTTCTCATTGCTTGAAAAATCTCCCTACCAAAAATTATCAATATTGGTCCACTATTAAGGGTAGCCCTCAGATAACAGTAGGTCCCAGATTCTGATATTTTGGGGAGTTTGAGTAAGTTTTTTTCAATCGAATTGACTGTAATTTGATATTTTTTATTCTCATTGGGTTGGAAAATCTCCCCACCAAAAATTTTACGTTTTTTACTGAATTATATCTATGTCCACCCTAATATACATCTACTTTTTTTAATTTACATCGAAATTTCTGGTTGCAAAAAATATTAAATATTGTCTCTCGTTTTATTTTTGTTTTATCGAACGTGTTTAAATCACACTTTTTTTACCAGGTACCCCCACATCAATTTGTATATTCATTCATACGCATACATATGAACCTAAATACACATATGTACATAAATACACATATATGTACATAAATAATAAAATTTATTACATGACCTTGTAACCAAATCCAAGTTCTTAATCTTGTAAAGTGTGTGTGTGGTAATAACAAGAACAACTTAAATGGCATCGAGTTTTAGTTGAAATAAATAATAATAACAACAACAACAACAAAAACAAGAATCTAAGAAGTGGAGTTGTATTAAAATTGTGAACATTAATGTGGAGGGACAATTTGAAAAAAAAAATATTTCTTAAATCATGATGAATTGTAAATAATTGGCACGCCTTGTCATAGGCGTCCTAAAAATGCTATTATTTTTATAAAATTGGTATTTTGGATTTTTTTTTTTAATTTATCCAAAAAGTGGATATTTGTATTATAGTTTTTTTATTTATTTTTAATTTGCGAATCAATACTGTTCAATATATTTAACAATTCCAGTATTCTAAATTTTATTTTTCTTAGGATAGAATTAACACACAAATTATTAGAATTCAAATTAGAACTGGTTTTTTTTCGATAGATCATAAATCAAATTCTTTATTTTATATTTCTTGGAATTGTTTTTGGATGATGGTGGTATCTATCGTATGATTTAAAAACAGATATATAGGACAAGAAAAAATATTAAATAATAATTAAATTATTAATTAATAGGATTATGAAATTGAATTAATTAAATGTAAATGATTTAAGGGGCCCCCCCCCATTCTCGGGGTCAAAATTTTTGTTGACTTAATTCCAATCTACACTAATTCAAGAATGTCCCTGCAAAATTTCAAGTTAAAATCTCAAGAACTCTTGAAGATATAGCCGATTTATTGTGTCAGCATCAAGTGACGGCTGAAGGGCTTCTCAAACTTTAAACGCGTTTTTCTCTAAACATTTTTTTGCGAATGGCGGGCACGATAACTCAAAAACTAATAACCCAATCGATTTCAAATTTTTACACGTTTCTCTGTGAGTGTATAGCTATCGTATGAACTAGGATAAAGCCAATCGGTGAAGATCTTCCTTATTTTTTAACTTGGTTTTTGGTAAAAAATCGGTGATTTTTCAAATTCCCTTAAATAGAGATTGTTTTAAATTGTAAACCTCATAAGAAATAAAATTTATTTTTTTTTAAATTAAACAAAGTGGGGAATTTGTCTATCGTTTCAATATCTTCGTTTTTATTTAGTAATTATTTTAATTTAAATAAAATAATTATTATTATATTTAAATAATGTTTTTAATTTAAATAATTTAAAAATAGTTTTTTTTTACTTCTTTTTATTATTATAGCCTCCACCATAGTATGGAGGGTATATGAATTTTGTCATTCCGTTTGTAACTCATCGAAATATTCAACTCATCGATAATTTATATTCTTGATCGGGTTAAAATTCTAAGACGATCTAGCCATGTCCGTCTGTCCGTCTGTGGTAATCCCGCTATCTTCTAAAGAAATTGAGATAGGGTGCTGAAATTTTGCATAGGTTTGGGATATATCGGTCCACATTTAGGCATAGCCCCCATATAAGTATACCGCCCAATTTTCGATATTTTGGGGTTCTTGAGCGCGCTTTCAACCAAATTCGCTGAAATTTGATACCTTGGTTTCTTTTTGGGTACCAACATTCCCCACTAAAAACTGTAAATATAGGTCCACTTTTTCTGGTAGACCCCATATAAGAGTACCCCCAAATTTTCAGTTTTTGCGGGGTTTTGACCAGATTTTTTCATCGAATGGACTGTAATTTTGTATATTGAGTTCTTAAAAGGTACCAAATCT